TGACCGGCCACTGCCGAGCACACTTCCACCATGGCGGTGTGCCTCGACCGTCTCCGGGACGGCTGGAGAGGCCCGGTTTGGGGAAGGTGGCTCGGGAGGGACGGCGCCACCCGCGGGCGCCGAACCACCGCTCCCTCTCGCCCCTCCTACCTCCTCCCTTTACCCTCTTCTCCCATGAAACGATTCCCCTAAGGCTCCTGTCCTCCCCCCAGACCCCAATTCACCTCTTATTGACCTCCTAACAGAGGACCCGCCGCCATACCCGGGGAATCGGGCGCCGGAGGGACCAGCGGTCCCTGCAGTGGCGCCAGAGAGACCGGCGGACCCGCATAGGCGCCTGAACAGCCTCTACAGAGAGAGTGGGAGGATGAGGCTCCGGCTCCCTCCCCAATTGCCGGTAGCCTACGAGGAAAGCGCGACGAACCAGCCAAAGAATCCAGGGCCTTTCCCCTTAGGGAAGGTCCTAATCACCAGCTCCAATACTGGCCATTTTCGGCTTCTGATCTCTATAACTGGAAGCAACATAATCCTCCTTTCTCTAAGGACCCTGTTGCCTTGACTAACCTGATTGAGTCCATTTTAATGACCCACAAGCCCACTTGGGAAGATTGTCAGCAGTTACTGCAGACGCTCCTGACGGTGGAGGAGAAGCAGCGAGTCTTCCTGGAGGCTTGGAAACAGGTTCCAGGAGACGATGGAAGACCCACCCAATTGCCTAATATCATTGACGCAGCCTTTCCCCTCACCCGCCCGAACTGGGACTTCGCGACCCCAGAAGGTAGGGAGCACCTACGTCTCTATCACCAGTTGCTCTTGGCGGGTCTCCGAGGGGCGGCTAGGTGCCCTGCCAATCTGGCCCAGGTTAGGAATGTGATCCAGGGAAAGGAGGAGATGCCGGCAGCATTCTTGGAAAGACTTAGAGAGGCTTATAGGATGTATACCCCGTACGATCTGGAAGATACAGGACAGGCGCCGGGTGTCATCTTGTCTTTCATCTATCAGTCAAGTCCAGAAATAAGGGCCAAGTTACAGAGACTAGTAGGATTACATTCATTCAGTTTGTCAGATTTATTAAGAGAGGAAGAGAAAGTGTTTAATAAGAGAGAAACTCCCAAAGAACGGAAGGAGAGGATGTGGCAGAGGCAAGAAGAGAGAGATAAGAAAAGTAATAGGGAAATAAGTAAAGTCCTGGCCACTGTAGTGTCTCAGGGACAGATCAGAGAGGGAATTAGGATGGGAGATCAAAGAAGGACACCGCTTGACAAAGACCAGTGTGCTTACTGTAAAGAGAGAGGGCATTGGGCTCGTAACTGCCCAAAGAAGCCTCAAGGGTCTCGGAGACCTAAGCCAAGGGCCACGGACCTCCTCAATCTGGAGGATTAGGGAGGTCAAGGCCAGGAGCCCCCCCCTGAGCCAAGGATAACTCTCAAGATTGGGGGGCAGCCAGTGACCTTCCTGGTGGACACCGGGGCTCAACATTCAGTCCTGACCCATACCAGAGGCTCTCTCAGTGACCACACAGCTTTGGTCCAGGGGGCCACAGGTAGCAGGAGGTATCGATGGACCACTGAGAGAAAGGTTCAGCTGGCATCTGGACAGGTAACCCACTCTTTTTTGCATATACCCGACTGCCCTCACCCATTATTGGGCCGAGACCTGTTGACTAAGCTCAAGGCTCAGATCTATTTTGATGACAAGGGGTCGACCATTACAGGACCCAAAGGGACCCCCCTACAAGTCCTAACCCTAAAACTGGAAGAGGAATACCGCCTGTTTGAATCCGAGCCATCTAAGGGGCCACCACAAGAAATGCAGGACTGGTTGAGGGAATTTCCCTCAGCATGGGCAGAGACTGGCGGCTTGGGGCTGGCTCACGACCAACCCCAACTTGTTATTCAGTTAAAAGCCTCCGCCACTCCTGTTTCTATCAAACAGTATTCCATGTCCCGGGAAGCCCACGAGGGCATTAAACCACACATCCAGAGGCTCTTGGACCAGGGGGTACTTGTGCCCTGTGGATCCCCTTGGAATACCCCCCTCCTGCCTGTAAAAAAACCTGGGACAGGGGATTACAGACCGGTTCAAGACCTGAGGGAGGTCAATAAATGGGTTGAAGATATACACCCCATGGTGCCAAACCCTTACAACCTCCTCAGCACTCTTCCACCAACCCACATTTGGTATATGATACTGGACTTGAAGGATGCCTTCTTCTGTTTGAGATTGCACCCCCAGAGCCAACTGCTGTTTGCTTTTGAATGGAGAGACCCAGAGATGGGACTTTCAGGACAGTTGACCTGGACTCGGCTCCCCCAGGGGTTTAAAAACAGCCCGACCCTCTTTGATGAAGCCTTACACTCAGACCTGGCCGAGTTCCGGGTCGAACATCCGGCCTTAATCTTGCTCCAATATGTGGATGACCTCCTCCTAGCAGCCAGAACCCAGGCTGAATGTCTGAGAGGCACTCGGGCCCTTTTGGCTAAACTGGGACAGAAGGGCTATCGGGCTTCGGCCAAGAAGGCCCAGATTTGTCAAAGCAAAGTCATTTACTTGGGTTACACCCTAGAGGGAGGACAGAGATGGCTCACGAAAGCAAGGAAGGAGGCCATACTCTCCACACCCCCTCCAAGGAACCCCCGCCAGGTGCGGGAGTTCCTAGGTACAGCCGGCTACTGCCGCCTCTGGATCCCAGGTTTTGCTGAGATGGCTGCCCCCCTGTATCCTCTCACCAAGCCCGGGGTTATGTTCCACTGGGGAGAGGAACAACAACAGGCCTTTCAGCGAATTAAGAGAACCTTACTTGAGTCACCAGCTCTTGGCCTACCAGATCTGACTAAGCCCTTTGAACTGTTCGTGGACGAAAACTCAGGCTTTGCAAAAGGAGTACTGGTACAGAGACTGGGGCCATGGAAGAGACCTGTAGCTTATCTATCCAAGAAATTAGACCCGGTAGCTGCAGGATGGCCCCCCTGTCTGCGCATGGTAGCCGCCATTGCTGTTTTGCTCAAGGATGTAGGGAAACTGACTTTGGGACAGCCATTAACTGTGTTATCCTCCCATGCGGTGGAAGCTCTGGTCCGGCAGCCCCCAGATAGATGGCT